GGGCTCTAGGGGTTTAAGGTTTAGGGCTTTAGGTCACTAGAGGTCTTTTTCCGGCGCTTTTGGAGCACCGGAACTCCCAGGGAGCCCCATACCTCTTATTTGAGGGATATACTTACCGTAAATGATATGATTTAAGGTCCCTATAAGTTACGGTCTGTTCCTTATTTAAGGGATATTGGGGCTCGCTGGGCTGATATTTTGGATGAGTTTTTTCTGTATTGCGGGTATAAGGGTCGCGTAAAGGGTTCGAGGATTCCGTTCCAGGGTTCGCTTACAGGTTCCAGCAGGGCTTCAGGGTTTTAGGAGGTTTGGGTTTAGGGTTTCAGGGTTTAGGGTGTTTCAGGGTTTAGGGTTTCAGGGTCTGCGTTTTCGATCGGATTGGCAATACACTGGTTTTAGGGCTGACGGAGCCAAACACCCAGAGATTGTCCAAAAGGCCATTCCAAGGGTTAGCTAGGTTGAAGAGGCACGGCTGTAATTTTTCTGGGGGCTGTTGGAAGGGTTTTCTTACAAGACAGTTATTCGCACTCTCGCTGCGGTCTATGGTACTTCTACTACTGGATGATCAGAAAAGGGCTTTGGGGAACATTACACTATTGTAATACCAAATCAAAACAGCCCTAGAGAATTGGATTGGCAAGCCATCAGGCCCCTAGAGAATCATGATTCGTGTTCCGAACTTTCAGGACGTGCTCCCGGTGCCGGAGACAGCCTCCGAATGATAGGGGTAGCCGTTGCCTACCCAGTTTGAACCAGGAAAGCCCAAAATTGATACTACGGTTGATGATATAAATCCTGCATGACCCATAATAAGGAAGATACCATCCTCAAGGTCATGCAGGATTTATATCATCAACAGTAGGACGATCAGCTAAGGAATGGTACCAGGGCTTCGGCTATCAGGTTCGAGGTTCAGGAGACGTCGCTACAGATCCTGAAGACCCCAACCTTATGCCCGCAAGCCACCGTCAAACCCCTAAACCGCTAAACCTTACATAGTTTATGGTTTCTTGCAGTTTAGGGTTTAGGGTTTTCGGTTTTGGGTTTTTGGGGCGTTAGCTATTCTTGTAAACCCAAAACCCGATGCCCGAAGCCTCAGGACCCGATGACCTTCACAGAAAGGCCCAGATGCCCCAGTTCTTGTTGGCCACACGCTTCCGGCGGTTCTCAAAAAGTGCCTGGAGGCCACCTCGGACGTACGACTGGCGAGCGAAGGCCGTTTGGTGTGCATGGGAATTGGGGTATTAGGGGCTTAGGGGCTTGGGGTAGTAGGGTAGTAGGGTATTGGGGGTATTGGGGTATTAGGGGTTTAGGATTCTATCTTTTTTGGAGGCCCTTTTTCCTCGTAGCTGCTTAGAGGCCCTGTGGGGCGGGCTTGTACCAGGCTGCGAAAGCTTAACCCAGCGCTCACTTCTCCACCTCACTGTCCCCACGGGGTTTAGGGTTTAGGGACTAGGGTCTACCTTAAACCCCAAACACGGACTTATACAAAGAAATCATAAGAAGGAACCCTTGAGGGTCCAGGTAGGGTTTTGGTGCTGAAGCCCCGACAGAAAGGGCCCCACAAGCTGAGGCCCGGACCCATGTGGCCAACGAAGAGCTGAAACTCCTTCCACACGGGATCTCTGCACCCATCTGACCCCAGAGAGCCCAATACTCTTTAATTTAAGGAATATACCTTAAATCATAATATATTAAAGCCCCTATAATTTAACTTATATTCCTTGATTAGGGGGTATTGGGCTCTCTGGGATGTGCGTCGTCTGTAGTTTCGGGTGTAGGGTTTAGGATGGCGCTTGCAAGTTTGCGGGCTTTTGAGGGGCTTACTTAGATAAGGGTTTGAGGGGGTTTGCTGTGAAATATATAGCCAGTTACTGTCGAGCAAAGCACCTCAACCCTAATCTCTACTCAGTTACTACTCAGACATGGTGATGGCAGAACATCACCCAGCATGGAGGCTCCTGTCTGTAGGGGGGCAATGTTTCCCAAAGTTGCGCCTGCGGTGGGGCTAACCCTAAACCCTAAACCCTTCACCCTAAACCTGGTAAACCGTTTTTGAAGGCCGAGCATTGAAGGGCCATGGTTTAATGGAGGGAGTTGAGGTGGGGTTTAGGGTTTAGGGGTTTAGGGGTTTAGGGTTTGGGGTTAAGGGGTGAATAGCTCCGAACCAAGTTGCATAACGCACGCACCCGTAGCAATGGATAAAGATCCCACTGGCCTCGTGGCCTGATGATCTATATGCAGCCTCTCTTTCTGCACGTTGGCTCTACTCTTGCAGCCGGACGCTGATGCAATCATGCCGAAAATAGGACGTGAGATAGATTCTTCACACCACCAAAAACTCATAGCAATGCACATACCCTGGTCCATAAAGCCTAAACCCTAAAACCTAACCCCTGAACCCTAAACCCTGAACTCTAAATCATGAACACTTAGCCCCGTCTTCCTGGATGACCATCCTGCAATCACTCAAAAGACCTAGGGTTCAGGGCTACGGCTTGGGATTTAGGGTTGAAGGCTTCATGATAGCAAAAACCCCTACTGAAAACCTGTGGCGAGATTTGGAGAGACCATGCAACTTCTAGCATATGGGCATGTAACCCTAAACCCTAAACCGATTCATCGAATCCTTCTTACGAGAATCCCCAGACAGCAGAAGGAGCCCCACCATCTCCGATGGCAGACCCTATGGACTCACAAATCACTCCCAACAGCAGATAAGACAAAGAACTCATGAGACCAAACGCAAGGGCCTTGTGAAAATTCCTACAATCCCTACAACAACAAGCCGCTTCCAAACCCCCTCAACCCTAAACCCTAAGAAACCCTGAGAAACCCTAAGAGACCCTAAGAAACCCTAAGAAACCCTAAACACCCTAAGAAACCCCTGGAAATCCGAAGAATCCCTAAGAATCCCAAAGAAACCCTAAGAAACCCCTGGAAATCCTAAGAACCCCTAAGAAGCCCCAAACCCATGTCTCCTCGTAGGAGACCTTCTGGTCCTGATCCAAGTCCATGATCATCGCCTGGGCCTCTTCCTCACCCCATCCTGATTTAGAGGGGTTTAGGGTTTGAAGGGGGGTTTAAGGTTTAGGGTTCCTCACCCCATCCTGATTTGGAGGGGTTTAGGGTTTTAAGAGGGTTTAAGGCTTCGGATTTAGAGGGGTTTAGGGTTTGAAGGGGGGTTTAGGGTTCAAGGGGGGTTTAGGGTTTAGGGATTAGGGTTTAGGGTTTAGGGTGTCTTTGTGAATGTAGGGGCCTCAAATTGTTAGAGGCTCCTTCGTAGTTCCTTTTTGGGATTAGCTTGTAGGATTCTAACTGTAAACCACGAAAAGGAACTACTTAGGAGCCTATGGGTAAGGATCCCACACCATTGCCGGGACTTTGTGCTTTTGGGTCTGGCCTGTGCATGGGTCGAGGTACCACCACCCGACACCAATCCATCTCAGTTGTGCTTTGCTTTGAGATGTAGTGATTTGATGCAGAGCTGCGAGGAGAAGCAGAGAGCAAGAAAGCTCCCTCAAGAGGGGTTTGGGGGGTGAGCCCTAAACACTAATTGAGGTGGTTGGGGCGGGACTACATGCTTATGCAGGCGTGCGAATAGTGGTGCGCCTCTATTCCTAAAGTAACAGGCGCACCCACCGCGCGCGCACTGTATACACACCCTAAACCCTAAAACCCTAAACCCTAAACCAGAAATCCTAAATCCTAAACCCTAAACCCTAAACCCTAAAACCTAAAGCCCTAAACCCTAAACCCCAAATCCTAAATCCTAAACCCTAAACCCTAAACCCCAAACCCTAAATCCTACATTTAAGGCCTCTAAAGGTTTCTAGCAGGGGTTTTAGAAGGTGGGAGAGTTACTTCAAGGTTTCGGCATAGGAGCCTGGAGAAGTAGATCGCGGTTTGGGGTGGGGTATATAACTATATAGGTTTAGGGTTTAGGGTTTAAGGGGTATCTTACAGCTACAGTTCGCTCTTAGGCACGGCTATACAGGCCTTCTACGTTAAGCCTCCCAGAGTCTATATATACGGTGGCTTATATGAAGCTTGCATAGGAATTTCAAGGCTTTTCGGGTTTAGGGTGACGAAACCCCTAAACTCTAAACCCTAAACCCCAAACCCCAAACCCTAAACCCCAAGCCCCAAACCCTAAACCCCAAACCCCAAGCCCCTCTTCTGCCGGGCCGTTGAGGTATAGAACTTCTCGAGGCATTGAGGCTCTGGGGGTCGATGGACCCTAGAAAAGAAAGGGGCCTTGAGACTTAGAATAGGGCTTTAAGAAAGGGGCCTTGATACTTTAGAGTAGGGCTTAACAAAAGGGGCCTTGATATTTAGAATAGGGCTTTGGGGGGGGGGGGGATATTCTACTCAGATTATAATGGGGAGCCCCCCCCCCCAAATACTAGTGGTAATTCTTTAGACCCTGATATGAAGCGTTAAGCCCTGATATTTAGAGTAATTAGGGCTTTGGGGGTATATTATTCTAAGACTATAACAAGTAGCCCCAAAACAATGCTAGTGGTAATTCTTTAGACCCCTATCTGAAGCGTTAAACCCTGACATTTAGAATAGGGCTTTGGGGGTATATTATTATTCTAAGACTATAATAAGGAGACCCCAAAAATACTAGTGGTAATTCTTTAGACCCCTGTATGAAGCATTAAACCCGTTTCGGCTTCATGTGGACTCCCAGTTTCAGGACACTAAGGCTTCGGGTTGGGCTCTTTCGCTGCAGGGTTTAGGGTTTAGGGTTTAGTATGGGCTGTCTGCGGCTGCAGGTGCCGATGTAGGCGCAGAGGTATTTAAACTCGTTCTGGTCCAAATGCCCAGAGCTGTCTGCATCAAACCTCCAGGGCATGACGCCGGTTTAGGGGGGGTTTAGGGTTTAGGGTGTAGGGTGTAGGGGTTTAGGGTCCACAGGGTTTAGGGGTTTAGGGTTTTAGGGTTTAGGGTCTACAGGGTTTAGGGTTTAGGGTTAAGGTTTTAGGGTTTATGGTTGACTTAGAGTCAGCATTCGGAGGAGGACCAGTCCCAGTTCTGTTTTCAGGTGTTTTTTGCGCATTGCGTTTTTTTCTCCTGTATTGCGACCATGCATCACCGCCTTAACAACTGTGAGAGCTAGGTTCAGATTGCAAATCTCTGGTCAGAAAACTTGAGAATGGTGCATATGAACAGTGTCAGACGCAGACTGCACTTCTCAGCTTCCGTGAATGCGCCCATCCTCTCGATCCTGAACTTGGTATTGGTATGGCGCATCAAGTTTTAAACTTTTGAAAGTTGCTCGCATCACTAACAGTGATGGTCAGCGATGGTGATGAACTTTCAGTTTCACTGAGTCCTATGTGCAGATCATCTGTTCTACGCTGCGTTGTCGGCAGGGCTCCTTTAAATTGCTGCGCTCCTGCTTGGGACCTGCAGTTGTTCGTTGGCAAGCTTCAGATTAACGGAAACTGCAGGTGGGGAGTTTAGGGTAATTATATAGGGCTTCGATAAGGCTTCTATAAGGAATATAGACCTTCTATAAGGCTCCTATAAGGGTAACTACCCACCTGAAAATGTCCTAGATTCAGATGCTTAAAGGCGGCCCGTCGACGCATAGGCCCGGAAGCTCTTTGCCCCAAAACCCTTCCACATCCCCGAAACCCCCAACGACAAAGATTAAAGGTTGGGTATTGGGGAACTAAGTAAAACCCCAAACCCAATAACCCTAAACCCAAAACCCATAAACCTAAATCCCCGGTCCCAGGCACCGCCGGAAGGCATCCTTGATCTGTGCCATCTCGTAGTTCAGACCTGGGAGTTCGATAACTCGTTTCTACAGGGAGTTCTAGGGTTCCTTCTTAAAGGGAGTTTTGGGGTTCCTTTTTTAAAGGGCGTTCTAGGGTTCCTTTTTTAAGGGAGTTTTGGGGTTCCTTTTTAAAGGGAGTTCTAGGGTTCCTTTCTACAGGGAGTTTTGGGGTTCCTTTTAACGGGAGTTCTAGGGTTCCGTTTTAAAGGGAGTTCTAGGGTTCCTGTTTAAAGGGAGTTTCTGGGGGTTTCTAGGGCTCGGATTTTTGGGAGTTTGGGGCTTTGGGGGCTTTAGGGCTTTGGGTTTAGGGTTCAGGGCGTTAGGGCTTTAAGGCTTTGGGGTTTAAAGGCCTTTCAAAAGCCTATAACATCCGATGAATAAAAAAACCTACAACTGAGTAGGGTTTAGGGTTAACAAAACCAAATTGAAAACCGATCAACATCAGTTAAATCAACCGAGCACAAAACCGTTAACACCCTATATGAGCCCTACTAAACTACGTGAGAACCTTCCTAAAACCCTTGCTCCTTTCTACTCCCTACAGTTACGACTAATTAAACCCTACATCCTGAAACCCCAAACCCTACAATCCTAAAAACAAACGTTAGAAAAAATAGACCTTCAACCCTGAACGCACCTCTAGACAAACAAACTTTAGCAAAAAGACAACTTCTACTCTGAACGCACCTCTAGAACAAAAATCATTTAAAAAAAAACGGCTGCATCCCCGCTGCTTCGCTGGATCCGCTCCACGCAGCTCACGGCCTCAGTGGAGTTCCGGATGATGATGCACTCCCGGCACCTGCTTCCAAGGACGGCTTAGAGGGTTTAGGGCTTAGGGTTTTTTTTTAAGCGCCTCTTTTCCAACTCGCAGAGCCAGAGATCCCCTTATAGGCTTATAGGGCTTAGGGTTTAGGGTTTAGGGCTTAGGGTTTAGGGAAGGCTTCAGAAACTTGTGGGGGCTTTGGGCTTAGAATTTTGCTCGGTTTAGGGCGTCAGGTTCATGTAGAATGGAACCGCATTTAAGGCTTGTGCTCTTTCGTAGGGTTTTACTGCATGATATAGGGCTTTATGATCGTTTTATGATCGTTTTAGACGGGTTTTTAACGTCCAAGCACCTGCTTTCGAGGCAGCTGAAGGGCTTTATCGCGTTCGTGTAAGCTTTCTGAAAGGGTTTTTGCAGGATTTACAGGAATAGGGTTTCATGCGCTGCTTTGGGGAGTGCGGGACTTTAGATTTCATGGATTGCCTGCTTCAAGGCCATAATAGAGCTTGGGAGGGTTTACAGGGTATATTAAACCCTAACCCCTAAACCCTGAACCCTGAAACCCTAAACCCTGAAACCGGGTTTAGGGCTTAGGATGCCGGCCTTGCTGTAATGGGGCCTGAATAGGGTCTCTAAAAGGAGGGGCCTTCGGCTTTAGAACTGTGCCGGCACCTGCCTTAAGGTTGTGGTTTTGGGGGGGGCCTTTGAATTTTGCGGTTCAGGGCTGAGGGTTCGGGCTTCGGGAGCTGCAGCTTCGGGGGGGGTCATCGAAGTTCGAAGTCTCTGTAAGCTTTGTTTTTTTTGCATAGGGTGCATGTCTTTGGGTCTCTGAGGTTTCTATGGGTTTAGCAGGCTACACCCTAAACCCTAAACCCTAAAACCCGAAAACCCTAAAACCCTAAAGCCCTAAACCCTAAACCCTAAAAGTCCAAACCCTAAAACCGTAAACCTTAAACCCTAAACCCTAAAACTCCAAAAACCTAAACCTAAACCCCAAAAACTTAAGCCCTAAAGCCCCAAAGCCCTAAACCTTCAGGGCTGAAGGTTCAGTGTGGGTTCCCCGGCTGCTGCTTCGGGCTCTGGGACTTATGGGGGGGTTGTCGTAGAGAAGAGTGAACAAGGAGGGTTTAGGGTCTGCATCAAACCTCCAGGGCATGGCTTCCTAAACTTTGCCTGGGTTTAGGGTTTAGGGTTTAGAGTTTAGGGTTTAGGGTTTAGGGTTTGGGGGTTTGGGGGTTTGGGGGTTTAGAGGTTAGGGGTTTAATTCTAAGGCCTGGATGCCAAAGCACAGATGCTCAAACCAGAAGCCTCACCCTCCATCGTAAAGCCCTACACCCCAAACCCCATATACACGAAGGAGGCCGGCCTATAAGCTATGAGCCCACTACAAACCTCAGAGCGGCTTTAGAGCTCTAATATAGAGATCTGAGTACTGAGCAGCAATATCTCCAAAACCATATTCTGGGAATCAATGGCCTTATATTTAACCTAGCAACATCTCATTGAAGCCCTATTTTAAACCCATTCAAACCCTCCACTGTGATATACCCCCCACAAACCCAGCTCTGACGGCTAAGAACTCCGCACCAAGGCCCTTATAGGTTACCCTACGAGTGGCCCCTTCTATTCTAGGAGCCTTCAAAGGAACCCCAAAACCCTAAACCCCTAAACCCTAAACCTAAACCCCCAAACCCTAAATCCTAAACCGCCAAACCCTAAAGCCCTAAACCCTTAACCCCCTAAACCCCTAAACCCTAACACCCTAAAGCCCCTAAACCCTAACACCCTAAAGCCCCTAACCCCCCAAAACCCTAACCCAACCCTGAGCCTCGGAGAGCCCCATAGAAGCCCCATAGAAGCCCTGTATACCCTAAACTCCCAACCCCTAGCGCCCCTAAACCCCTAAACCCTCAAACCCTAAAGCCCCTAGCCCCCCAAAACCCCAAAACCCTAAAGCCCCTAAAACCCCAAAGCCCCTTCCTTCGGAAAGCCCCGAGCCTCCTCACCCAGTAGAGCAGCTGGTGCGGCATCGGCTCGGTTCCCATCGGCTTCCTCGGCTCTTCCCAGAGAGCCCAAGGAATATAAATACCTTAAATTTTAGGGTTCCTTAAAGGGATCTATAAGGGTTTATATAAGGGAATTAAGGAATATATATATATATATCCTAAATCATAACATTAAGGCCCCGATTGATTTAAGGTATATATTCCTTCTTTAAGGGGTATTGGGCTCTCTGGGTTCTTACTTGGGGAGCTCACTAGGATGCCCATAGCGGTTCTAGAGCACAGGTTTCCCTCTCATGCACGTTAAGAAAGTCATTCCTGTAAGCACTCGCGCCATAGTATCCTTATGCCACTACTCTAAAGGTGGACACGGATCCAAAAGGGCTTGGGCCTTTGATCAGTCTTTTCTTTGAACTCCTTTCTGTTGTGGAGGCATCTGATGCTTGTGACAGGTCTGCGAGCAGCGTGACTGTGATTATCTGTGTCTCCCTTGGTTTGAGGTCTGAATCGAGGGCTTGCGGCTTAGGGTTACAGGCTTTGGGGTTCAAGGTTTAGTGGCAAGCTCAGGTATTTTGAGGCCGAAGCACTTGGACAGGGCTCTTGGGAAAGCTGACGATTAATTCCTACTTGTTGTTCAGGTCCCCGAAAAAGTGCACTTGCAGAAGGCTACGGAGATGAACATCACTGTGCTATAGGGTTTAGGGTTTAGGGTCTAGGCTTTAGGGTTCAGGGTATAGGTTTAGGGTTTAGGGTTTAGGGTTACACAGGGACTAATTTCGGCGATGTTATCGCTCATCATTCTTTCCTGTATGAGTTCACCGTCCTTGGGCAATTCTCAGGGAGCTGAGGCAACACCTGTTACAACGGGCTTGCGCGGCGTACTGTGATTCCGGCCCATAATGATTAGAATCGTCGGGCATGGGTTTCACGCCCTTGGCTCTGCCCCCAAACCCCTAAACCCACAAACAGTCAAAAGAAAGTCAAGTCCCAGAGAGCCCAATACCCCTTAATTAAGGAATATACCTTAAATCACAATATCATTAAGGCCCTATAAGGTATACATTCCTTGATTAAGGGGTATTGGGCTCTCTGGGTTCCCCTAAAGACCATCAACCCAAGGCCGTAAACCCAGAGACCCTAAGCCCACGGTCAGATCCTAGACCAGACACCGTAAACCCTGAAGCTCAAGACGCCCTAAACTCTCATTGCTGGGCTTGTTAAGGGAAGTTACCATAACAGGGATCTATAGTAAATAGTATTGTTCCCGTATTATAGTAACGTAAACTAAATCCCTTAACAAGAGCCCAGATTATCCAGACCTTGTCTGTAGGTAATGTAAGGGCTTGAATAATCAGAATACTGTTCTGGGCTCCTTTATAGTAGTACTATAATAATGAACCCTAAGAATGGTAATTATTTAGGCTTCAAAAGAAGCTTTGCGCGGTGAGCGCAGCTTGGATTCTAAGTTCTGGTCCCAGAGTTTAAGCGGTTCAGGGTTTAGGGTTACGCAAAGTAGGACCACAGCTAACCATGACTAAGTTTATACTAAGCCCTCATGAAACCCGCCTAGAAGCTGGAAGGCCTAAAACCCTAAACCCCAAACCCTGAAACCCTCAAACCCTGAAACCCTCAACCCTAAACCCTATAACTCAACCAGCCCAAACCCAAACGTCCCTCACCCTCGAAGTCGGACACAAAACTCTTATTGAACCCCTGCAGTCCCCGCACGCCGCATCCCGCATCCTGATGGAACCCGGCTTCCAAAATCCCAAGACTAAACCAAAATCAGTTCGAGGTTTCAGGTAAGCGAAAAAGCCCTAAGCATCTATCCCCAACACCTTTACCCTAAACCCTAAACCCTACACCCTACAGCCGAAAGATTTCGTTGACCCCGAGACCCTAAAACCGAGAGTCCGGAACTCTAAACGCCCCTAAACCCTAAACCCTAAAACCTAAACCCTAAACCCTAAAACCTAAACCCTAAACCCTTAAACCCTTAAACCCCTGAACCCTAAACCCCTAAAAGCCTGAACGCTGCAAGGTTCAGGTAAGGATGCTCCTCCGTGATCTGAGCGAGACTGGCGACGACTGCGGCCATCGCCGCATCGTCGCTGAGGTCGCCGAATTGCTGCAAAAAGATGAGGGTTCGGTGAGGTTAAAACAAGGGTGCCGAAATAATTACCTATACTATTTTTGGGGGGGGTCCTTATTATAATTCCTGTAATATACCCCAAAACCCTGTTCTAAAGGACTCTGTTTTAAGGGTTTAGGGCCCATAGGAGTTCATAGGGATTTCTATCTTGGGAACTGGGGTTTCAAGTCTTCTCGTGGTAGCTTTCAGGATTTATTGGGGAGTCGGCTCACGTTTTTTTGGGGTGGTCTCGGGGCTTAGGGCTTGGGAGGGATAAGGCAATATGGACTTACAATGGCTTGCACTTCAACGTGCGAAAACGTGGGGTGTGGGGCCCTGGATGGCTAGGATACGTCTTATCCTCGCCACGTTTTGGAAGCCCTCCTTGGGGTTCAGATCTGCAAAGAAGCAGCACAAGAGTCACACGAGACCTTAGGGCTGTAGATGTTCATCCTGATCGCCCGTCGTATCCCTGAACACTAGCAGGCCTTGAGCATCTCTTCATGGCTCGCGCCGCTGAAGCCGGTGGGATTCCCACTTCCACAGCACTGCTGCCCCATGGCGACGAATGCGGCTGCAAAGATCAGAGAAGGAAGGATTCCAAACAGAAGAACCAACCGTTGGCAAAGGGACCTACAGTGTAAGCTCATTGACGGCTTGTAACCTTACATAACCTGCTGGCATTCCTAACTCAGGATCATTGCGATCGATCTCATGCGCGCATGCTGGTTTTGCAAATCTCGGTCTGACCTGTCAGATGCTTGGGATGTTCAAAACGTGGCAGAAAAGCTCCTATGCCCTGAATTTCAAAGCTAAACTCTAAAACATTAAACCTTGATCCCCAAAATTTAAATCTCAAAACCATAAAACCCTAAAACCCTAAACCATGAAACCCTCAACCCTAAACCCAAAGCTCCCATGCAGCCCGAAGCTTAAATCGTTCTCAGCGGCTCCCCCCGCCCCCCGCCCAGGCCGAGAAACAAGAAATCAACCAACATAGAGGCCTCAATAGCGGGAAAAGAACTGGTGTTTTTGAGGTATATTGAACTACAATCATAGCACGTCACGCAACCCCAAAAGAGTATTGGTAATTCTTGGTCCCCATATGACAGTGGAAGCAACAGTAGTCGTGACAGTGTTCATGGTAGCACCAGACGGCAGCGATGATAGGAAGAAGCAGACTATGAAGAACAGTGATACTAGCAAAGCGCACTAATCGCAAAAAGCATGTTGAAAGTAACAGCGAGACTAAGGATTTTAGCTCCAGCAGTCACAGTGCCACGAACATCGCACCATCCATCCCAACCATGGCCGTAGTAGTAATTTGGGTTTCTCAGTTGTAGTCTAACAAGCCTAAAACTCCTCGCGTTCGCAACGAGCTACGAACCTGAGCCCCGACGCAACTCAAGAAGATTGAACCCCCAGGGCAGGAATGGATAGGCTTTCGGGGTTTGGGGTTTAGCGTTTAGGGTTTGGGGTTCAGGGTTTTGGGCTTGGGGTTTAGGTTTTGGGGTTTAGGTCGAAGCCCCGAAGCCTGAACAAACTCCAAACACAACACTGACTTGTGGGTGGGATACTGCCCCCACTCAGTAACAGTTGAGTACTATTCATACTATGGATATAAGGCCCTTAATCGAACCCCGAAAACGCCAAGGTCCTAAAGCTCCACAAGGCTCATCAGGGTTTAGGGCTTAGGGTTTAGGGTTTAGGGCTTAAGACTTAGGGTTTAGGGCTTAAGGCTTAGGGTTTAGGGCTTAGGGGTTCTCCTGAAACCACACGGGACACATCACCGAAAAAACACCAGTTTCTAGGATCCTAATACGAGGGAGAACTCGGGACTTACTCGGCTCTCTACCCCCCTTGGCCCCTATTCCTGAGTTCTTGTTAAGGGATTGACTTTAAGTTACCATAATAAGGAAACCATATTATTTGCTATAGATCCCTTTGATGGGATTGAATTTAAGTTACCATAATAAGGAAACCACGTTATGTACTATAGATCCCCCATTATGGTGACTTAAATTAAAATCCCAAAAAACAAGAATCCCTAAACCCTAACTATATTATTCACTATAGATCCCTAGTATAGTAACTTAAATACAACAACCCAAACCCCTAAACCCCCACAACCCCTGAACCCCTAAACCATAAACCCCTAAACCCTAAACCCCTAAACCCCTGAACCCCTAAACCATAAACCCCTAAACCCTAAACCCGTAAACCCCTGAACCCCTAAACCCTCAAAACCCAAAAATCCAAAAACCCTATAGAAACCCTTAATAGATCCCTTTTAAGGACTCTAAACCCTAAACCCCTAGGGCCATTACACTACCCCCTAAACAAGAGCCCAGATTCCCTCGAGGATCCTCCAGAGCCCCTCATGCCCTGAAGCCGCGAGATCTTCGAGTCGGAGCCCCACACTCAGAGTTTGAATAGGGCTTTGGGTTTAGGGCTTAGGGCTTTGGGTTTAGGGCTTAGGGTTTAGGGTTTAGGGCTTTGGGTTTAGGGCTTAGGGTTTAGGGCTTAGGAAGTATACTTTGAATAAGGCTCCTTGAAGGGCTCCTTAGAAGGTTTACTCTAAGTGTTTAAGTATATTTAGAATAAGGCTCCTTTAAGGGCTGCTTGGAAGGAAGGGTTGCTCTGAGCCTTTAGTATGGGGTTCTGAATCATTAGAGAAGGGCTTTGGGATTTCTGAGTGATTGTTGAGCCCCCCATACTATGAAACATCAAAACCCTTGCTGCTAAAAATGATCTAAGAACCCCTTCCCGAAAAAAACTCGAAAACGCAACGACACAACACAATTTGGAAGACACATGAACAAATGTAAGAAGTGAGTGCCTTCTAGAGCCCTAAACCCTAAACCCTAAAAGCCCTAAGCCCTAAACCCTAAAAAACCTAAACCCTAAACCCTAAAAACCCTAAGAACCCTAAAAACCCTAAAAACCCCTAAAAGCCCTAAACCCTAAACCAAAGCACCTTCAGACCGCCCAGTTGATCCCGAAGCTTCTTGAGGAAGTCGCCCTGGCGCCTCTGCCGAAGAGGGCCACGGAGGGTTTGGAGGGTCTGGAGTTTAGGCTTTAGGGGTTTAGGGGTTTAGGGTTCAGGGGCGGAGAGCTTTGGGTTTGGGGTTTTAGGGTTCAGGGGCGGAGAGTTGAGGGTTTGGGGTGTAGGGCTCAGGGGCGGAGAGTTTTTGGGGTTTGGGGGTTGAGGGTTCAGGAGAGCTTAGGGTTTGGGGGTCGAGGGTCAAGGGCTTAGAGTCTAGGATTTAGGGTTGAGGGTTGAGAGCTTAGGGCTTATACTTTAAAAAGGGGGGGGCTTTAGGTTTGAGAGCGCTGGGGGTTTGTCGGGCTTGCGGGCTTAAAGGGGGTTGAGGGTCGGCGGCTTTGGGTTTAGCTCTTTGGTGCCCATAGGATGGGTTTGGGGTTTTAGGGTTTAGGGTTGAGGGTTTAGGGTTTAGGGTTGTTCGGCTTTAAGGTCTATTGGACCTGTGAATTCTGGATTCGCGGGTAGAAGGTCTCATGGAGTTTCATGGGGCTCTTACAAGCTCTCATACGGTTGACGATATAAATCCTGCATTACCCATACTAAGGAATGTACCCTAACTCCCATAGTTTAGGGTCCTTAAGGTAATGCAGGATTTATATCCTCAACAGTAGGTTGTTGTGACGAGCTCCAAGTGGCTCTGGTCATGGAACAGCGGTTGGGTTTCTTGTTTGACAGCTGTGCAGGGGCCATAAGGGGGACGGTTGCTGCTTGTTGAGAACTCTACATTTCGCCGTGTGCCCGGCAGTCGCAACGCCTGTCCCGAAGCTCCAGAGTCCCGAAGCTCCAGAACCCATAGTTTCAAGCTCAGAAGGCCCCACAAACCCTGGAGACCTGACAGAGCCAGAATAAGAACCTGATAGAACCCAATGAGACTGTTACAAAAATGCAGCATCCTCCAAGCACTGTGGGCCGAAGCTCAAGAAAGCCTGAAAGCCTGATGAACACCACCCGAACGCATGAAATCCTGCGAATCATACAGGAATCCACACAACCCTAACTCAAAGGAACGTCTGCACCAGCCATAAACCTGACCTCGTAGAATAGTACGAGCCCATGATGACTAGGCCCCTCTTCTGTGAAGGTTTTAAGATTCGGATCCCATGATCGTCCCCAGTCTGGGACGGCGGGATTTAGTTGAGCGGGGGGGGGGGGCCATTCATTGAACCCTAGAGCCCTAAAGCGTGAAAGCCCTGGAAGACCTTCATGAAAACCCGCAGAAGCGACCCTTATGAAGCCTGATTGAAACTCCTATAGTTACACCCCTCAACTCCCATAACATTGGGCCCTGAATACTTCGCAACAGTACGTATTCCCTGCAGCTCCCCTCATACCCTCACAGGACACCTTGAACCCTAAACCCTGAACCCTGAACCTTACTTAAACCCCACACCTTGAACCATAAACCCCCAAACCCTAAAACCCTAAACCCTGAACCCTAAACCCCTAAACCCTAAACCCCCAGAAACCCAAAACCCTAAACCCTAAACTTCCTAAACCTACGTAGTCTCCGTTTCATTTGCCGAAGAACTTCGAGGCCGAGCCAGCTGCTTTCACCTCTGAGAAAGTCTTAGGGGCGCTTCGTTGTTGGGTGTAGGGTTTAGGGTTTAGGGTTTAGGGCTTAGGGTTTAGGGTTTAGGATTTAGGGTTTAGGGTTTGAGGCGTCTCGGCTCGAGTTCCCGTTTCGATTCTTTTCTCCCCAGGAGTTTTGGATCGTAGGAACATTCCAGACCCCAGCTTGTGCATTCGTGCTTCAAGCGCCGCTTTCGGCTATCGAGGAGCCACTGCACATTCCCGCTGCCTTTTGATAGGCCGGGAACCTATCTAGCCCTGGGTTGGCTTCTGGGTCCTCCCGCTGCCTTTAACTAGGCCGGGAGCTATCTTTAGCCCTGGTGTGGCTTTTGATTTTGGCACTGGTGTTGCCCTACATTTTTTCATTGGTTTCCTTCCCGTCACTGCTTTTAAATAGGCTGACGGACGCAGGCTCCTTTGGGCACCTCAGGTGCATGGTCTTCTGGAAGGTCTGGGTCCCCTGGACACTTCTGCTGTTTTTGGGATTCTGGTTATTGTGGGTGGGTTCTGGAGACGGGGAAACGTTCCAGATCACCGCCGTGGCACAGGCGCCAGCGCAAGGCCCGTGCCAAAGCTCGATGCCTTTGCCATTGTGGAGTGCCTACAGCTCAGGCCCTACGCCTCCTCCGTCTTCACCACGGATCAATGGCTCCAAAAGGCCGGGGGTCCTCTCAGAAGGGCAAAGGAAAGCAGAACCACACGGACTAGGCGACAAAAGATATGCTCAATTTTGGCTACCCTCAGCCTGTGGTCTCCGCTTTGCAAGCGATTGCTACGAGGTCGACAGCCGGACTTTTCCGCGACCCCGTTGCTGTCGCGGCCGACCAATCTGTGCAACAACTTGCGCAGTCTCAGGCAAACGCCTTAGACAAGCTCGGAAAGCGTATCAACGGCAACCTGAGAGCCAAACACAGCTTGCAGGAGGCGGCCACCGCTTGGCTGGGAAAAATTGGCCAGCACCTCGCTGCTCTCACTTCCAGGTTGAGCACGGTAGCCACCAGACTGGATCGATCAGGCCGAAGCCATTGCCGCTCTTCAGCAAGCTTCGGTCAACCTGGAAGCCAGTGCACAGGAGCAAGTGGACAAAGCTCTGGGAGGAATGGGCCCTATTTGGAACCAAGCTCAGGAGGCCGAGGTGCTGAGATTGGCGGCATGTCTGCGGGCTTTCAGCGCTGTCGGTGGCGGCGAGGCTGCAATTGCAGGAGCATCTTCTACAGGAGATGCTGGTGGCCCTGGTACGAGCAGCTTCGCGGCCCCTGGCTCTGCTATGACCCGCTCGCCGTTGGGCGAGGCAGATGGCTCAACCCTCTCGACACCAGCCAGGTCTTCCACGTCCGGCGAGGCCATGGATATTTCCAATCCGGATCTTTCGGCAAAGCGCAGGTGGAACCAAAGGGGCAATCGACATCCACGTCCTTCAAAAAGTCCTCGCCGCGAGCTGGACTTGTCAGCCGAGCCCTGGCCCAGGGTAGCTACAGGACTCACGCCGGATCGACCACAGCGGCCCCGGCCCTCAGCAGACGAGGAAGAGCTCATACCGGCGGTCGCGACCCCTCCGTATACCTGGGCCTCTGCATGGTGCCACATCTCCAGGCATTGTTGGGAACTCGGCGCAGAGCATGTTGGCCATGTAGCCACATCGGATCCGCAGGAACAGGTGCTTCCGGTGCTCCATCTCATTGCAGATCCGGAACAGGTGGTGACGGAGGGCGAACGGCTCTGGGAGGCCTTGCAGCAATCCATTCAGCAGCTAGAGTCGGACGCGGATACTGGACGCTTCGTGGAGCAGCTCACCTTGTGGCTGGAAGCCGTGCGAGAAAGACCCTTGGCTCTTCCCTCAGTAAGGCAAGGACTACTCACTTTGGCCCATGCAGTTTCTGGCAATATTTACAGTGTGGACGGATTTGGACCGTCCACCGCACAAGAATGGCTTTTTCCTGCGGAGCTCCTAGCGCAAGAGATTCCCTTGGTGGGTCTCTTACCCACAACTTGGGACTCGATGGCCTTGAGGGTCCTTGTGACGATGCCGTGTCCGATGCGCAGAGTACCCGAGGAGCCCGACCTGTGACGGAGGCATGCGAAGGAGTTGTGACACCGAGGCATGCTGGCTACATCAAGTGTCGCAGTTCAGGATTAACGCCAACGTCAGTGAAGGTTCATGAGGGCGCTGTCTGGCACCTTCATGATTCACTGTTGTTGCCTTTTCTGAGCCTGGTTGTCGCCGCACTGTACAGGATTTTCCGTTTGTGTACAGCCCTCGCTAGAGAGGTCTCAGGCCTCTGGTGCGACCCTACGCTGGCGATTTTCTCGCTTCGTATTCTGGCTGCCGGACTTTGGCTGTGCGCCAGCATCCATCGTCAGTTCCACCTCATCTGTGGCCTTGCGTTTTGTTGCGAGATATGGGCGTCCCTCCTGACTAGAAGCTCCCAGAGGCGCAGCCTCTCCCGCTGCCTGCCATCTCCCTGGCTCTGGATCCGCCATCTCTGTTCTCAGGTGCTTTGCCCCAGGTTGCATCCAGGCGCATGCCGATAACAGGGGCTGGCGAGGTGTTGTCTTGCTAAATCCCCAGCCCGACTCGGCTGCCGTGCACCTAATTGCCCTGCCGCAGCATGGGCATCTAGTCTCTTTTGCTCTCCTGGTAAATAACCGCGTTGTTCCGTGCTGCGTACCACGTCGAGCCAGGTGGCGTGACCTCCGAGGCATTGCGTTCGAGGGTGTTCACGGGAGACTGGATTTGCCCCAGCACATCGATGTGGTCCAAGACACCGTCACTTTCCGTTCAGGTGACTGTTTTCGCATTGATACGGAACATGACCATTCTGCTGTTTCGGAATATGCGCGTCTCGAGGACGTTGATCTTGAGACTGCAGAGGCCTCTCTTCAGCCCGCCACGACAGATGTCTCGAGCAGCAGTCGACCCTGGCCCACCTTCGCGGGTCTTCTTGGATGCCTTCTGCTTTCGGCTTGTCAGTCTCGGCCCTGGTGTTGGACTATTGGAGTCGTCTCTTCCGTGGCTATGCATCGGCCGGGTGGTTTCCCCTGGCCGGTCCCACCGCACGAGCGTGTCTTCCGCCTCCCCAACATCGACGACCATGTGCAGGTGTTGTACTACAGCCCATTTCTTGGCATTGGCAACTTTCCTGCCTACTGGGCTGCTCCGGACACAGCTCATAGTACCGCATGGGCACAGTTTCTTAATGATGACGCGGCATGGGCTACAGATTTTTTCCCAGTGTGGCCGGGTCTGCATTTCAATGCCCTGGCTTTTGTCCCTGTTGGAAATGATCGCGCTACCGTTACTGTGATCTTGCACTACAGAGGCTTCGGCCGTGCGGCCCTTATGCCGCGCACGGTTACTGACTCGTGGTTGCAGTCTTTCGCCTCACAACAGGTCAGCGCCGATGTTGAGGACATTTTCCTGCCGCATGCCCTGGAGGCCTGGCGCTTCTACGATGTCCCGCCGCCTGACTATCGCTTGCGTAATGGCGACGTGATTTACCTTCGGGATCGTGTCTGGGGGCGGGACCCTCTTGAAGTTGAAGACCCGTGGGATATCCAGACCAGCGGCACAGGCCAACATGCCCCATGGGCGATTGGTTTTAGGCTAGATAGTGACACCGTGGTTGACATACTCCAGCCTGGACAACGCCCGACATTGGCTACGATTCCGGCTGGGGAGACGTGGGCACCGGTACAATGCACCTTTTCTGGGGAATTCCACCTTCGATACCCGGGGATGTGGACACCGGTGCAATGGTCAGCCTCCAGCGTACCTCAGCTTATGCTGATAAATGGTGTAGCTGCTGAAGCCAATGTTGTGGTGGCCCGGGCGGTCCCCCGTCATGTTGGCCGGGAGTCTCTGGCTGCATGCACGGGCCTTGTCCGGGACTCGGTCGTTCTTGGGGGAGTGCCGTCGGCTTCCCTCGACGCTGGGGTTGAAATCCGTAATGGCGATGTCGTCTTTGGAGAGCCTGCCCCCAGATCCGCTGCATCGCCAACGCATCTGCTGCGGTGGTGGCTCTTAATGCCTTTAGTTCGAGGCCACGCCCGTGCCCTCAGCTTTGCGCTCTGCTCCCTCCTTTTCTACACTGCTGACGCCATGCAGCAGCCTCTGGCCTTCTCCTTCAATGCCTATCGTGTGGGCCGTTTCCCTTGGAGGGAGGATGATCCGGAAACCGACATCGCGACTCTTAGCTCGCATGATACGGTCGACACTGTGTATCTAAGCCCGTTCTCGGGGCCCGGCCAGGTTGTCACGTTGCCCACAACCTTCTCGGTTTCTGCCTGGTCTGCTGCTCTGGTCTTGCAGGATCCGGATTGGGGCGCCACTGCATGCCCCGTGTGGCCCACTGTTTCTGCTGGTGCCATGGTGGCAGTCCCCCGCCCCCCAACTCGAGATCTGGTTTGTGTACATGTCACATCGCATCTCGAGCACTTTGCCCTGTGTATTCCGCGGGTCACATCTGTTGCTTGGCTTGTTGGCGCACTCCGGACTGCACGGGTCTTGGATGTTCTGTCGCTCCGAATTCCCCCAGCCCTAGGGCAGAGCTCAGGCGATAGCCAGGATGAGATTGCTTGGCGCCCTGGCGATCTCATCGTGGCTCTGCCGCCCGATGCTTTCACCGGACTTTTCCAAACCCCGGTATTCACTAGGGCCGAACAGCTTCGTCATTGTGCAATATGGTCTTTGGACTTCTGCTTGGCTGCGAAGTCGGACGCTGTTGTCTGGCAACCGGACACCCGGCCCCTTCTTACTACAGTGCCTCGTGGATCTCGCTGGAGCGCCCTTGATGCCACGTTCGAAGGAGCATTCTCCGATCGTTATCCAGGGAGCTGGGCTCCTGTTCCTTGGATCGCGGAAGACCGCCCTCACCTTGTCCAGATCGCCGCTTCTGACCGCTTCGTGCATGTTGTGGTGGAAACACCGGCTGCCTGCTTTTGCACGGCTGTGCACATGCATACTGACCGACTGCAGCTCAGGGCTGATCTCCCCTCTTTCCAGGGTCAACCCCGTGTTCTCTCTATTCCCGACGAAGAACTTCAGCAGGGCACCACACTTCGCGATGGAGATGTCGTCATAGAGATTCCCAGCTCCAGCTATCACCTTCGCCCCATGCGTCTTGGTCTTCTTGGATCACTGTTTATTGCATCCTCTCATCGATGGCTATGGTTTGGGAGCTTGGGCGTCATCTATAGCCTCCAGTGTCAAGTCTTGCCATGCGGTGCTAGCAACTCGGATGCCCCGAGCCCTGATTCGTCGGAAGCCCGCACCATTCGCTCACGCCTTGGCCGGGGTCGCCGGAGTCGCTCAAGGAGTTCTCATGGCCACCAACCAGGTTTTAGTTTTTTCCCGAGTGACGCTCGTCGCTCGGTCTTGTCCCCGGTTGTTCCCCTTCACCTGTGGCATCCCTTCCCCACCGCTGAGACGGCTTGCTTTGGGGATTTTGCTGCGTTTCAGGGCGCTGTTGCCGTCCGCACTATGTGCCCCATGTCAGGGCCGAGCAGCTTTAGCCAAGTTTCGGCCAATTCGGGGTGGCCAAGGATTGCTGAGGCAGGCCACTCCCACTGTGGAGGTTGGGTTGATTCATTTGTCCCGGCGCGAGGGCTAGGTCCTAAGCGATGCCTCACTCTCGTCCCTGCTTGCCCGGCGCCTTTCGCCTCGATTGCCGTCCTTGACGGAGGTCATTCGAGGGCGGTTGTGGTTCCTAAGTTTGCTACTCTCCCACAACTTGCCTTTGCCGCTTGCCGTGGCGAAGGAGGTCAAGGAGGTACCCGATGGACCTTCACACCGGGGGTCTACAGCAGTGACCGAAGACGGCCTCTCTTCCTGCGGCATGGTGATTGCCTCGGGGTCCTCTCTGATCCGGGATGTCAGGACTACGGCTTGCCTGATTGGCTGCACTACCGCGCCCCTCAGGAGGCACTTAGCGCAGCCTCCTGGGCACTACCATTTGTCCTGGAGGCTGGAGGCTCAGCCCGTGCCCGACGAGAGCCCTCGCATATTATTCTTCGCGAAGGGACCTGGTGGGACCCAGATAGATGCAGTTTTCGCGATGCCCATGGTGAGCCGATGCGAGGCACCTGGATTCCGGCCTTGTCGGGTTGTCTCCCCGACCTCCACCTGATCAGCCCCGGGGCGCCTCTGGCTGCACATGTGTTCTGCGTCGATAGCCGTGAAAACAGATACCCTTTGGTTACTGCCCATCTTGGCGGCCCTGATGCTACCGGACCGCCTTTTGGATGGCATTGGCACCCCAGCATCGCAGCTACCTCCCCGACTCGGCTGCGAGATGGTGACGTTCTAGTGGTAGACCCAACTGCTGAACGGATCTGGGATCCCCTGGCCGGTGTTCCGCCAGCTATCGCGCTTGATAAGCTAGCTGTCAGTGCGTCTCTGCTGCTAACCGGTCGCCCCCTTGTCGGTCTTCTCCTCCTTGTTGGACTGCCCGCTGTTGTCGCTCGTCCCCAACCTTCGTTCTTTGCGCCTGAGTCAGCCGACTTCAGCTGCAGCGTGGATCCTTGGCCTACCCTTGTTCAGCGAGGAGATTACTGGGAAGAATCCCTAGCTGCCGGATGCTTGCCCTGCGGGCGCTCGAGGCCCGCCTCTTGCGACGGTCTCCATGGCATGCGGGGATCGGGTCAGATTGTGTCTGCTGGTAATCCGCTATCGTGGCTTCCACGGTTTGCTTTAGCTAGGCTTCTGGCCGTCGTTCGGGGGCGTTCACTCAGTTATCTCGGCCTCGGCCTTCTCCTTGACACTCGCCCCTCTTTGGGAGTCCGCATTGACCCAGCTGGCGTCGCTCATCGACTCTGGCAGCCGGGTGGAGGTCTCCAGGACCCTATCTGGTCACACGATGCTCGATGCCCGCAGGCGTTGTTAACGCAATTCCTTGCGTGGGACACCCCTGTGCAGGTCCGACCAGCAGTCTATGGCGGTGGTTGGGAGTGGATCCCGGGTTCCGTTGATCCTACTCACGTATCTGTTGTGGTGGTTGCGCCGCCTATGCCGCGCGCTGCTTTGCTGCCACGAGTCTGCACGGCCCATCTTCTGCTCAGCTCCCTCCGACTTCAAACCCCCTCGCTTACTGATGTTGAGGCCACCCCCGCGGCATGGCGGGGCACTCGGAAGCAAGCGATGCCCACTCTGTACCTCCGTGATGGGGATGTTCTCCAGGTCCGCAATCGAGGTTGGACTCCTATGCTACGTGCACCCCCGGCCATTTTGCACTGCTCGCCTGCACTCGCAGCAAGAGACGCATTTTGGGGGCTTCCTTTCCGCATCCGTGACCCGGGCATGATCTTTGCTTGGCGACCGCACGAGCCACGACCGTTATGTCTCCCCTCCTTACGGGGGGAAGCTTGGGACCCCGAAGGATGTACCTTTCGGCCCTCGCTCGCTGCTCTTAGCCCTGAGCGCTGGGTTCCAGCTGCCATCGAGGACCCCCTTGGCCTGCACATGATTCTTGAGGGTGCCAGCAATGTTTGGGTCCATCATTTCCTTCCGGGAATTCCCCCACGGGCCGTCCGGAGCCTCCGTGAGGAACTTTCTTCGGGCCTCAGAGACGGCGATATTAGTCGGGCCAGCCCGGGCTACGGGAGCCCTATGCTGGGGGTTCTGGCTTGGGTTATCGGAGCCGGCCTGGGCGATAGAATCCTCCCTCGCCTTTTTATGGTCAGCTTTCTATGTCTTCGATGTGCCGGCGGCGCCCCCGGATCGCCCCCGGTGGCATATACCCCACAGGCTGGTGGGATCTCGAAAGCTCTTCTCTCGGTTTACCCCGTTGCTTGGGGTGCCCCGTCGAACAGCGCAAACCCTCTCCAGGTCGAGCTCGACCCCGCTGCCAGGGTGTATGCCCGCTTATCCGCGCACTATCTCGCCCAGCCGTTGCGGCAAGATTTCCCTCCGGTTGCGCCCCCTGCTAGGTGGCACGCTTGGCAATGCTTCCCTATTTGGGGTGCCGGAGTGCCAGACGAGATCTTAATTGCCACAGACGGCAGCACTAGTGGCGAGGCACACGGCGGCTGGGCTTTTGCTGTGTGGGCCCTATGGCAGGGTCGTTGGTATAGACATGGATGGGATGGCGGCGCCGGACACCTGACTCCCTGGCTCCTCCCTTCTGCTTTCCACGACTCAGATCTTCGCTCATACCTAGGGGAGCTTGGTGCTTTGACCTCGGCCGCGTTGTGGTTGACGGCTTGGTGGGATTGTCTTCGGGTTTCCACGGGAGCTGCCCCGAAGCGTGTTACCATAGCGGTGGACAATACCGCAGCTCTCAGCGTCGCGGCCGGCAGAGCGGCGACCACGCATCCCCAGGCGCAGGTATGTCGAAGCGTTTGGCAGGCTGTTCAGTCCCGGTTATCCACTGACTTTCGCCATGTTCCGGGGCATCACGGTGTTTTGGTCAATGAAGTGGCTGACTTCCTGGCAGGCTATACTGCTCGACACCCCATGGCTGTTTGGGTTGGATTCGCCCGACTCGACCCCCAGGTTGCTCATGATCTTGTTCAGGTAGGGCCTCTCCTGTGGCTCCTCCCGACTGCTCAGATGCTTGACGGGTGCCTTATCTGGAGCCCACCTTGGACTCCAGTGCAAGAAGCCTCTAGGGTGGCCTTGTTGTCGACGGTACCGGCCCCGTCGCAGCCTACCGCAGAGAGCCCTAAGGCCACACGATCTCTCAAGGTGGTTCAGGCAAATGTTCAGACCATGAGCGATGTTGACCCGTCCTTTTTCAACCGTTCGGGGCATGGGCAGCGTCGTATTTACCTCAGTCGCCAGCTGCGGGACCTCGGCGTTCAGGTGGCCTTTGTGCAGGAGTGCCGCAGCCGGGCTGGGCGCTGGGCATCCCACGGGTTTCTTAGTTGGCGTGGGGGGCATGTCAAAGGCTGCTACGGGGTAGAGGTCTGGGTCGCGCCAGACTGTGTAGATCCACCTTTGCAACTAGATCATTGGCGCATATGCTTGTCGCAGCCACGTCTTCTGATTATAAGGTGTGTTCGCGAAGATATGCCTATGACCCTCATCTCAGCGCATGCGCCGCATGCGGAGCGCCCTCTCGAGGAGATCCGCTCATTCTGGAATTTGCTCCAGGAACAGCTTCGTGTTGTTCGCCGCGATGGGCCTGTGCTAGTCGGCATCGACGCCAATGCTGATTTCCTGGCTCCTGACGAGCAAGGCACTTTGGTGGGGCCCCTCCTAGCAGATCGACAGCCTAGACCTGGGGATGACTTTCTTCTTCAGACTGTTGTCGACGCGGGACTCTTTGCTGCTGGCACATGGCCGGAGATTCACCATGGCCCCACATGGACTTGGCAACATACCAGTGGCAAGCGGCAAAGGCTGGACCACATCCTGTTATCCCAAGATGTCCGTGTTACCTCCCACTCGCAACGGCCGGACTTTGATATCATCACCAAGGAGGCCAGAGACCATATGCCCATAGGGTGCTGTCTCACTGTCACCGGCCCTCCTGCGCGCCATCCCCGATCTAGGCTCAGGTATCCTGCCGAACGCGCCAGTGAGGTTGGCTGGCAGGTATGGAGGCGCCTCCATCCTGCTCCAGGTCGAGGACCTGACGGGCAACTACAAGTTTTCATTGATGCCCACACTGCTGCTGTCGCTGGGCTCCCGTCGCGGCCTCCTCTAGTCCGTCGGCAGCCATACATCTCTGACGAGGCCGCTGAAGTTCTCTTTGATCTCAGGGATGCTCGCGCAGAGGTGCGACGGCTACGCAGTTGCCTCGATCGTTTCACGTGTCAGGCTTCTTTTCGTGCCTGGCGTGGTGCCGTAGCTCGAGCAGATCACCGTATTGTCATGCACGTCCTAAGGCTCCAGGTTCAAATGCACTCTGCCGACATGAGCCGACTCAGAACACAGGCCCATGCCCTGGCAAGGCGGGATAAGCAGCAATACTTCGACCAGCTTCTTGGCGAGGCCACCGCGCACTGGCATGAGACTGGCCGACCCTTGGAAAGTGCTAACCGTCTCTCCTGGGCGTCCAAAACTGCCAAACAGAAACGTGATGTGCGAGCCGCTAGTGGGTATGATATAGATCTTGAGCTCCAAGCCCAATTCCAGGGACAGGAAGCTGGCCAGGTGGTCTCGGCTGAGCAGTTGCAGCTCCGTTTCTCCATTTGGGAGGACAAGCCCAAACCGCCCTGCCGCGCTGCGGTCCCTACCCTTCTTGACCTCGAGGCTTTGTGCAGGGCTCAGAAACCTCGTAAGGCTCCTGGCCCCGATGCTGTTAGGAATGAGGTGTGGCGAGTACAGCCTGAGAGTGCAGGGCGCTGGCTATGGCCTCTTTGTGGGTGCATCTGCTTTGGGCAGAGAGAGCCTCTGCACTTCAAGGACTCCTCTGTCTGCGCCCTGCATAAAAAAGGACCGGCCTTTTTGCCGTCCAATTTTCGCAGTATTGCGATGCTCAACGGTGTCGCCAAACTTTGGCACTCGCATGTCCGTGCTACGGTCGGGCAGGAAGTGCTGCGACAATACTTCCCCACTCAGTTAGGGGGCCGACGGGGGATTGACACGAGCATGGCCCTGGGTGTCTTTCGATGTGCCTGTGATCTCGCCACCATACGGGACCGCTCGTGGGCCGCTTTCTTTGTAGATATACAAGCTGCGTACTACGAAACCAGCAGGTCCTTGCTTTTTGACGGCCCCGGCGACGATCCTACTTTAGCGGCCCTTCAGCTTCCTGCTCATGTGCATGCCCTGATCTCTGAAGGGGCCCTCCAAGGGCTGGGTCTCCCTCTGGAGCATATCGCGCTTCTGCAGGACTGTGTTGAGTGTTCGTTCTGGACATTCACCGGCCAGACCCAACAGGTCATGGCCACCCGTGGCTCGAGACCCGGGGATGGGCTCGCTGATGTCTTGTTTGGGGCCCTCTTTGCCGTGATCCTGTCCTGTCTTGAAGCGCAATGCCAACGTCACGGTTTGGTTCACCAAAGCATGTCTGTTGCCCTTGGTGTTCCTGATAGGCCACTCCAGATTGCGTGGGCCGACGACCTGTCCTTGGTTGTAGACTTTCAGTCCGCTCAGGTCCTTGACGCTTTTCGCTTCCGTGTGTGTCTTGGCGAAGGGAAGACCGAAGCCCTGGTGCACTTATGCGGGACCGGGGCCTCCACGGCCAAACACCAGCTTCTTGCAGGTAATCCAGGCATTGCTGCGGAGGATGGCAGAGTCATCCGAGTTGTCGCAGAGTACAAATACCTAGGAGTCCCCCAAAGAGCGAGCGACAATGGACGACGTGACATCGAAGCTTCGGCTGGCCGCGGGCGGGGAGTCTGGTCCCAAGCGGCCAGCCTCATACACTCGCCCGTTCTACCGTGGCCCTTGAAGTTAGCCTGGTTTCAGGGCCGCACTCTCCCCGCTGCCTTCTCCTCCCTGGCTACCACTTTGGCCACGTCTGCACGAGCCTTGAGCCCTTTGCAAGGCTTTTACGAACAGTGTCTGCGTCAGCTTGCCTCCACCTGGGAAGATGGACATCATGCTTCGTCCGAAACACTGCGGGTGTGTATCCACGCCCCCGATGTTGAAACATCTGTTTGCATTGCGCGTGTCCGGCTC